CAGTCTGTTGAAATAGCTGTGACAGCAAAATATGTAATTTTGCGTTCTACCTTCAGGGCAGCGCGATCACAGCTGTTAACGTAATTTACATTTATTTTTCAAGATTTGTTATCAGAGACATAACAGTCAGCAAGTCTACAATAATGTATATAAAAGCAGAAACAGTAGTTCTCCTTTTGAAATATGTCATGGCCCTGAAACGATTGGAGAGCCGCAAAGCATGTTTCACCCTTATTCGGCTTTAGCGTCATCAACACTGAGTGAAATCAATGTTGCAATATTGTAGCAACCCATACCTGGGAGAGTGGTTGAAATCAGATTGTTTTTGTCTTTATAAAATATTTGGTAGTAGCTTGCGAATCCATAACTGGGGCTAGCAATTTTGCAATGTCATGCCGAAAACTGCCAACCATTTTATCATTTGTCATCACAGCTATTGCATTTCTTTCATGATAATTATTCTGTTGACGTTGGAGAAGAAAAATCTTCCTATTTCAAGCCGACCGCGATATCCATATAGTGAGACATTCCAACCTCCAGAACTTGCTGAATGATAACTAGACTTTGATCTAGTCTAGTCTGATAAGAAAGCAATGTTGAATTTATCTCTATGATGAAACACTAGTAGTGATGTCATTCTTAGCCAATCAGTAAAGCAGATCAAAGGTCAAAAATGATTGACAGACTGTAAACAAAAGCATCATGTGCCATCATAGAAGAGTGACCCCATTTTTCTTGTCTCTATATTGTGATTAGACATGAATTAAAAGTGCCAAGCTGACAGACAGTGAAATCTGTGGATTAAAAGTGCTAAGTCCAAATTGTGTGCGACGACATCAACGCACTTCAGGGCGAAGCTGTAGGGTTTTTGTTAGCAGGCAACAGTGACTTCAAGGTTTTGACTTTGTATGTAGTATAGTGTGGTATAGTATGAATTTAGGATGTTTTGACTGATTCTTGCTACTCACTCACTCCTCTAGAATGGGTCGCTATGGCAATTCAATTTCTTAAATGGCAAATACAAAAAATATACAGGTTACCATTTGGCGAGCTTAATGCTCTGACTAGCAATTAAACTTTCTGTTACATACTGTGTTCCATATTGTCAGATATTTTGCAAGTCAGAGTGGTAGACCATTTAGTTTGCAGCAGAATAATGCAATTGAAAGCGAACCTCACTTTTTTAGATATTAGTGGTGGGATGCAATTTAAAATTCATTGATAAATTCATTGACAAAAATCGACATATCAAATGTGGCCATTCTAGCGCCCATGCTCGACTAAGCCCCCACCAAAGATTTAGGTGATATTGTTTTACATGGTTATGTTTGACTTTATACCATCTTTATAAGTTCATTGTGAAATTTAAAAAAAAAGTGGCATTCAGTTTCATCTTAATTACGGTAAGCCATATTGCTACACCCAGAAATACATATCTAAATGTAAACAATTTGAGTCTGAGCTACTAAATTGTGCTGTTGGCTACCAACAATTTGAACTTGGTTGTCAAGGGCCACCAAGGAAAATTAAACTTTGAGGGCTGTTCATATTTAAAAAAGAAAAATGTTCAACACGTCGATCACTTTTATTTGATCACGAGTATAACTAGCAGCTGTAATTTCATTGTCAAACACTAGTCATACGTCAAAGAATATAAACATATCAAATACACTAGTAGATGTGGACTACCTGTCAAAATCCTGATCCGTGACATGTTCTCTGTCCCAAGCAAAAAATGTGCCACTAAATAACAGGTATAGTTGGGGTCGACGACCGCGAAAGTACTTTCTGGCAAAGCTAGTCGCCACGGACTTCAAATTTTGTTCGGCATAATGTACGTGAATAAGTTGACCAATTCTTCTAATCCTCTGTGCAGTAACGGAATTAACTTGAAGTCCCCAGAGTCTCACAATTGTACAGAAACTTGATTGTAGCCTTATTTTTAACCTCTCTTGTAACGATAGTAGCTTTTCGTGTAATGGTGACCGCGTCGACGTAGAGGTCAGACGGAACCGTATAAATTGTTCAGTCAGAAATGCGTGGTTATTCGGTAAATTATGTCTTAACAGGGCTTTACGTGAAAGCCCTGACACTGTGTGAAGCACCATACTGGCTAGGATTTCTTAAAACCATCAAACAACCACAACAAACGACATTTTCACACAACTTTGTAGCACAGACACGAGAGCATATAATCCACACGGAGCGAGCGTGATTAAAACGGGCAAGCTTCTATAAACAATGTGTGCTCATTTGCATAAAGTTCGAAAATGGAATGTGTCGTCATTTGTGATAGTCAGCTATGAAACTTAGAATAATTTATATTACCAGCAATCAATAATTATTTAACCGAAATATTTCTATAGCATAAACAACAGGTGTAAATTAAATAAAATTTATATAACATTGCGCGTTTTACAATGTAAGAGGTCAAGGAAAGTTTATTGATAAAGTCTCGCGATAATCTCGTACAAAAACGTACTTCCTGTTACTTCAAATGAGCACGCGCAGAAGGTGACATCCATAGCAACAGGCGTAAATTTTGTCGGAAAGCTTCAGCTGTATGGATCTATTGACTTTTTCATCTAAGTTCTGGATCGCATGAACACATTTTGTTGAAAGCAGTCCCCCGTGAAAGCCATGGACACTATTGGTTCTCTTGATTTGGGGTAGGTGGCAAAATGTCAAGCATAACACCACGTAAAACCAATCATAACATTGGTAAACACAGATTGATCATTGAGCTCAAAGCTCCCTCTCACTTGCCACTCAGCCATAAGCATGCTATTGATTGCTTCTCCGTAATTAAGAAGTATATTCGGGCTTTTGCAAAACCCTTGTAGAACTTCATATGGTCTATTAGGATTTGTGTTTACAAATGAAAAGGATTTTAGATTTGTACACATATGTAATTGCACTGCAATGAATCGCGTCCAGCTGCAATAATTTGGTATTTGGGTTACCAGTATTTAATTGCATACATTTATTTACATTATGCCATTGGACGATGATTATATCTATAGTTGTATTTTTAATTTTTAATGTGTGTATATGTCTGTAACAATTAAAGCGCATGCCAACCTTGCAGCAATTAACAATTTTGAAATGAGATTCAACAATCAAATTACCTCAATTTATAACATTATGTGTTTCTAAACTGCTTGGAATGATATTTTAGTTAAATTGCAATTTTCACTTTAAACTCCCTATATCCTATTTGATTGAATGTCATAAAGTTGAATTTGAAATATATATCATGCATAATTTTTTTGTTTCCAAAATACCGTAAACACATTATTTTGAATCACACAAACGGAATGCCAGATATGGATTTGCTAAAATAATAATTGTTTCATGTTTGACGGTTAAAATAAGAAATGACAGAACATATTGACATCTACCCTAGGTGTACACAGCTGAAAACTAGTTTAACCATGAAAACAAGGAATTAATTAAAATTGAAAACTAGTAAATAAGTATTGCTTGTACATGTATCATAGTGTACTTGCCCTGAAGTTCATGGTTTAACCATTTGGCTGAAGAAAATAGCTTGACTGTCAAAATCTCCATTCTTCTGTTTTCGTCAGATTGCATGCACCTGTAGGTTACAGAACTTGCAATACAATATATTTATGGTATTGTCCTTGCTGTTTTATTAACACTATATTTTATTGGAAGCCCTTGACATATTTTTTTTTTATTTTTATTTATTTGTTGCTACTCTTTTAAATCAGGGGCTCACTTGTACAGGAGCTGCAAAATTAAAGATACATTTCTTAAAATAAGTACAAGAAATACTGTTATAGATCATGAAAAATAATCGATAACAAAATTAATATTAGTACAATAATAATAACATTACAATCTACTTATTAGTTTAAAAATGTTGTTCTAACATCCATTGAAGTATGAAGTAATATGTATCAAACACCAAATGCAAGTTGCAGCATTCAGAAGATATTCAAGTCAGAACTTTTATACCAATAGCCAGAAATTAATTTTTCACCATCTCATTGCAGCATTGAATCACAGACAACATTTTCTGACTAAAGAACTTGAAGATTTAATTTCAAAGTGAAGTAAATCTCATTAACTTAATATTGGTCTGCCATATATCAGTACATCAGAATCTTGATATTTTTTCTTCTTTTCAACCATTAGAATTTTAAAACCACATTGCTCAAAGATGCCTGGATAGAACACTGGGCATTCAACTTAATTTTAAAAACTTTATTGTGGCCAAGGACTTCGTACATGTAATAATACACAGAATTAATTTTTAATCTTTTATTCCACAGCACTTTTTCAATCATCACTCACTTTACATGTACATGTATATCTACAATCATCAACTAGTCTTTTTAATGCCTCTGTACTAATGAATGCATGTAGAATAAATGTGCATGTTTAAGTAATTCACTTTGTAATGATAATCCATATTTGTACATGTGCAAGCACAGTCAAACTTGAGTTCCAATTTTTGTTTTATTTTCTGAAATTTTAGGTGGGCCCAAGGATACAATGGTTCAAAGGCTGACTACATCAATCACAATACATTATGTTATGCATGTGGCAGTAATATCAAGTTCTACAATACAGAGGATAAGAAAGAGACGGTGCACCCTAGCCCCGGTGAAGGAATCAATACAATAGCAGTTAGTGGTTCTTACCATGTTGTGGCCATTGCAGAACAAGCCATCAATCCTAGAATATTCATACATATGCAGTCTGGATTTCTTCACAAGTCTATTTGTGAAAGTAAGTTACATTTTTTTCGTCAAAGTGTCATATTCACGAATATATATACCGGTAGCTTGCCAAGATACCTCACCTAATAAATGAAAACCACATTGGTTTCTTTTGAAATTACACGGGTGTAAGGCATTTATTTCTACCTACATTTGTAGATGTTTTGGCCTTGAAATTGGGTCCCCTCAAAAATCTTGTCCATTCATTAACTTACAGATGCACCTTTTAGGGGAACCTTGTTCAGCAGGGCCTGGTTGATTCCAGGATTGCCATTTGATAGAAAAATGGCTACACAGTTCTTGTGTGGAAAAATGCATTACTTGTGATTTGTATAGTTAATACTTGCACTTGCAATAAAACAGTTCAAACATGAAATAATTATTCCTGCTCATTTCATCATGTTATAAAAGAAATGATCCAGCAGTCCTATAATTTCAAATGATCAAGACTACATTCATAAAATAATTCATCAACATTTTAGAAAAAAAGAATGTGTTTGTGAAGGGGGGTTTGACATTTCATTTGGTTGATTGTATATACATAATATATGACATATCTGGAGACAAACCATATCTATTTATTATTCAGCAAACATGATTGACTGCTTTGTCAGAGTCAGTTTATATTGATATGTAAACATACCACTAGATTATGTATTTACATATGCATATTCTTACTGTTCAAAAAAATTGTAATGGTTGAATTTATCACTGCAACTATTTCTATGCAAATTAGAATTTTGTTTGAATATTTTTGTATTTTTAGTTTGCACATTGTACTATATTATGAGCCTGTTTTCTCCAATATTTTTTTGCATTCTTATGTGTTTTTTGCAGATGGTGCACAATTGGAATACGTTGCTTTGGCTTTCTCCTATTCTGGTCGATTTCTTGCAAGCTATTCCGGACTTCCTGAATTTAAATTAACAATATGGTATGCATTACATCATGTAATTTTCAAATCAATTTTATTCCACCTATACCTCCATGTATAAACAAGTGATTTTAATTCCTAACATGCTAATAAATGAAAAAAAATGACATGTATTGGTATTCTATATTTTTAAACAGGATGTGGGAAACAGGTGAGAAGCTTTGTAGCCAGGGTTTGAACGGTTTGAGCTGCAGCACCCTGTCATTCAACCCTATAGACTGGCATAAAGTTTGTGTAGCCGGGAATGAACAGCTCTCGTTCTGGAACATTGAACAGTGCAACAAGAAATTTTTACTAATACCAAGGTAAAGATATGTTTCTGTTTCTTTCTCATCAATTCTTGAAAAATTGATGTTGTGATTATTCATATATAGCAGTAGTTTCTACACTGCCCCTCTGTGTTTCTGTGAAATGCAGCTTCTACTCTTCTACACTGTCCCATCTATGTTTCTGTCATATGCACTTTCTACACTGCATCCCTCTGTGTTTCTGTCATATGTGGCTTCTACACTGCCCCCTCTGTAATAATTTCTGTCATATGCGGTTTCTACACTGCCCTCGCTGTGTTTCTGTCATAGGCAGTTTCTACACTCCCCATCTATGTTTCTGTCAGATGCAGTTTCTACACTGCCCGTGTGTTTTTCGATGATATGTTTTTTTTCTACACTAGACAGCACAAAATCACATACATTATATTCGTGCATGGTTTATTTCACTTTTAGTAAAGTGCTATTGCCAGCTGAAGATGGGACAGTTGATAACGCCCCGGACCGGATTACAAGTGGAGCTACAAACAGAGCTGCTCAGCAGGCGATTAAAATAGATTTGCCTACTAAAGCTGGTATTGTAGGAGAAATGGCTGAAACCTTTGAAGGTACTGTATAAAACAGCTTACTCAACTTAATAATATTGGAGGTTAATGATTTTAATATAATGATAAATAAATCTCAAAAAAAAAACATTGTATGTTCGCTCTCATATAACTTCACTAATTTGTCTTCAGTTGTACACTCATAAATTTATTTTGTATATTACACAATACTATTCACAGTATTTCATGGATTATTATAGTTTTGCGAAAAATGACATGTTTATTTTCCAGACATTTCACACTTGTTTTGTGGTCCCAATTTCTGTTACTGTTATTGTTATTTTATTTATTTTAACTATATGATTTTCTTTTTATTGCATTATTGTGCTGTTGTCATCCATTTATTTTTCATTGTGGTGAGTTCCCCTGATGGAATGCCAAACTGATTGTCATGGCCTTAGTGTGTTGCATGGGTGGTTTGGTTTGTTTGGTTTAAATCTAGTGTAATGTGTACTTGTCAGGATTTCTGTTACTAACAAAATGACATAAAAGCGTTCTTACTAACACTTGCATGTCTTGAAAGATATTTTTTTTATTTGAAATAAAAGGTGATATTATCTATATTGTACTGATTTTAAAATGTTTTTTTGCATGGGGGATTATTATGTGTGCAGTGTATTGGGACTGAAGGTGTTATAATTTGTTTTACTGACTAGCAATCACTGACTGTCATACCCCTTTATTTCCAGGTATCAAAGATGACTTGAAAATCAAAGTTGTTCCAGTTTCTCATTGTTGGACGGCCAAAGGGGAAGTCTATGTTGGCTGTGAAGGAGGACAGTTGTTGAGAGTCGACTCAGAGTCCCAGAAAGTTGATGTTTTATTCAGACCCAGTATACCATCTAAGATGGGAAGTGATGAACTGGATGGCAGACCTAGTACACCCATCACTGAAGGTACATTTCATCAACTGCTGGCAAGTCTGAATATCTCTAGAATCACAGTGAAGTGAATAGGCCAATGTGGTGAAAAACTCATAGACAGCACTGTGGCACTAACCAAGCTTCTTTTTAAATATACTGGTGTGCCTGATGTGATTGAACTTTTGGACATTGGAAGGAGCCTTAGGATATTCAATATGGCAATGAATCGTTTTGATTTGATGTTTCTGTGTTTCAATTGTAGATCCAGAAAGCACATCCACAGTTAGTCCAAGCTATAATAATGTTATGCGAGATGGTTCTTTAACATGCATGGCACTGCATAAAGATGGACTGTTTGTTGGTGGTGAGGTAATTTGTAATTTTCTCTGTTTTGGTGCAGCATTTGAAGACAAGCATTAGTGTAATTTGTTTGTTCATACTAATAGTAATGTTACTATGAATACCGGTATACAGAAATACAATGTGTGTGTTGTATAACAATGAACATTTAATACCTTCTCTTTCATCTAGGATGGAACACTGCGCTGTTTAAACATCGCCCGTAATGACATCAGTTTAGCAGATAGTTGGCCACTGGGATCACCAATAACGTCACTTTGTTTCTCGACTAATTACACTAAACTGGCCATTGGAAGCCCTAAGGTAAGTATCATGTCAGACATGTTTTAACACTCGTACAATGTATGTGTTCTTGCGAGAATGAAGCATGCCTGCTTATTCTCTTATCCTAGTCAATGGTATCAGTAATTGACAATGTATTGCCACTTGTGGTAGAATATACTGTGTCTACGGTATATGTAGCCACAAATTGTCATGATTGGGAAAGCCAACAGAAAGGTGTAATTGTTGTGTACATTGTACAAGACTTGTTTATAGGAGAAATATTAACCAACTACCCTGGTAGTTTGTGACACTTAACAAATTGTTTTTTTTTTTTTCATCTTACAGGGTTCTATTCATTTATATGACCCAAATAATCCTGGAGCTGCAAGATTTATTGTTTGATCACCATCATGGTAATTTTGTTGGTGTTGACGTCTTGGCTCCTGGTAACCAGCATTGTGTTGTAAGTATCAACAGTAAATGCCATACTTCCAACATTGATTTGAAGGTACTGTATATAGTGTATATATATATGTACAGCAGATCGGTGTTCCATCAATAACCTTTGTACTTTGCTAAATTTTCTGGTGTTTAACACTTTTGTCAAAACATTGCAATAACGATACATTTTTTTTTTAACCAGACTGTTCGTGAAGATGGTGAGGTACAAGTGTGGTCCCTTGACAAACCAGAACTTGTCTCAAGCATTGCCATTGCAAAATCAGTGAGTAGTATATGTTCTGTATGTGGGATTTTAGAAATATATTTTATTTGTTCAACTGCTTGATGGCATACATGGCTTGATCGCGTTGTGATATTAATTATTGAAATATGAATTTTACATTTGTATCATGCAGGCGTCCAGTATCGCTTGCAGTCCATCATCCCGAACTGTTGCAATCGGTACGCTAACCGGTCATGTGTACTTTGTTGAGTTCAGCAACGTTGACAATCCACGCATTATAACACGTCTGCACATACATCATAACCCTGTATCTCATCTTGTTTATGAACAATACGGTCGGTATCTGCTGACTGGCTCTGATGATGGACACATATTCATTATTGACCCAAGACCATCCACTGATTTCAAGATTATGGGACATTTGCGTGAGTACAAGTAAATTTATATATGCAGACAGCCTGTGACTAGCAAAAAGTGGAAGATGATGTAAACGCATAACTTATTCACAGAGTTTTAATTTTGTCATTTTAACTAGTAATGTGAAACATGTGAAATTATTGTAGATCTTGTGTCATGGAAAAATTTGCGAATTTAAAAAAAAATTTTCCATATAGCTCTAGTGACAATGGACATCAGTGTGTAAGACATGTGTCACAATCTCATTTTCTACAATGTTACTATTATAGCCATGTGAATTGTATTCTCTTTATTTGTCTTTTTGTAGCTATTGAAGGGCAGGTTATGAGTATCTCTTGTAATACTCCTCAGAAGAACGGCCACACTAAAGTTGTTGTGACTGCCAATCCCTTCCAAGATGGCAAGATTAGTGCCGGGCACAAAATAATACAGTTTGATATTAAAAAAGATTTTATAAAAGGTGAGAGATGAGATGATTTCTTAGATAATTTACAAAAAAATTAATTAGCACTCACATCATGAGTTTCATCAAATTATACTGAAGGTTTCATCCCTGTTTTTGTAATTTGATTTCAATTGATGTTTTGATCTTGTTTTAATTGGTTTTGGTCTGGATTTGAGTACAATCTATGAAAGCAATTCAAAAACTTTTGTTGCACACTTTTCAATACTTTGAGGTTATTAAGAAGACAGTAAAGAGGTTGATGTGAGCGCGTACTGCCTGAGTGCATACTTTGAGGTATCCTCATCATAATAACCCTTTAATGTATTATATATCTTTTCCTCTCAAGGATACATCATGGGAATGTGGAAATCTAAAAAGTTTATAACAGATTTAGCGAACTTCTTTGTGTGTGGTCCGGTCAAACGCTGCGGGCTGCCTTGTTTATTTTTTATTATTAGAGAACGCTTATGCATGTAATTGTTCCATATTTAAAATTTGTATTTCCTAATATGGTAGGATTCTTTCTGTTTATATTCTGCTAGATTGCAATGATCAATACTACAACAGTCTCAAGCGTGACTTGAAAGACGAAGTGATCAACAGAATGAATCTGAACTTTGCTATTCCCTCGTACGGCGCTGCTGTGGCTCCTGGGGAAATCATCTACGCACTCTCTTACAATCATAAAAAACTATCAAAGATTCAGCTTCCAGATGAACCCCCAAAGAAGGTAAGTCATTGTGTATGCAAAGTCTGTTTGGTAGTACTAAAGGTTTGGTGGAATAACAGCCGTTGTGAAAATGATGTTTGTGAGAGTTCAGTCATCGTAGTCTACTAACAAAAATTAACCGCAAAGTCTTGACGTCATTAGAAAACTGCTTTGCTAGATGCTGCAATAACATGTATGAATTGCTTTGTCTTTATTTCAATAGTTATCACAAGTAGGCAGAATAATGTTCATATTCATATTTTACCTGTTTTTTAAGAATACTCATGAAGATGTTGAAGAAGTTTCCACTCCTAGATCCGCGAGAACAGCTAGATCAGAAAAGGCAGGGTTTTTGAGTTCAATAATCTGTAAATTGCATGTATTTTAAAAAAATGAAAAAAAAATGCATGTCTAAATTTAATTTTAATTTTAATTTAGATTTAAAGATAGTTAGCTAGTCTATTTAATTAAAGTGCATGACCATATTTTTGTTTCAGTCTTATTAGACATTTTTATTTCACACCACTTCTAAGTGGACTGCCCCAAGTGGGCACTTCACGACTTTGACAATGAATTCATTGATTTTTTGAGCTTCCAAATTGGTGGTAGTTTTTCTCAGAAATATGTAACTGGAGGTTATAAAGAGCAGCATGAGTATTTGATTGCCGGTATAAGATTTCTTGGGTGAAATTTGCATATTTGGTGGGAAATATTCACAGAGCACAGCCAAATATGCAAATTTCACAGTCTATAACAGTGTACACAAGTGTGTAATTTTAATAGGCTGTCGCACTGTGATGTCATACGTTTCCATATCAGCATATAACAGGATGTGAATGTCTGATAACAAATTTTGATTACCAATCCACAATAGCTCGTAATCTGCTGTGACAATGACTTCTTACATTGTCTGAAAGCTGTTTTATTAATAGGGATACATAAATGTATATTTAATATCAACAACACCATTATTTTCTCTTCCGATGTGAACGACCGTTTTTTTTTTCAACTAGTCACTGCACACAGGCATAAGCGCAAAATGTAAACAAATGCAACACCCTATTCAGTTAGATTTTTAAGCCTCTTAACAGTTTTAAGGCAATAATTTTCTAGTGCGAGATACCATGTATAAAGCTTCAGATGGGTTGATTCAGATTGAACATGTTACAATTATTTATAAAAACATCAGCTACATAACTAATGTCAACACACAAGTCTGTTGTTACAAGCATTATACATACAAATCTCTGTGTTGAGCAATCTTCACACATATGTTATGAAGGAAAAGTTATCTTGTTGTTGTTTTTTTAATTTTACAAAATACCAGTTAGATGATCTTCCCTACACTCTATGAAATTTGAAATTAAAATACTTAATAGATACAGCTGTATACATGTAGAATCATGTTGTCAATGTGTTGTGATGTCCTGATGAACCACATATTATATACTACATATGTATTATATTGTAATTATTTCAGTTTTTTCTTCCTACACACCTTGCGTCACTTCATGTCATGAAATCCATCATGTTGGCAGTTAGCTGGAGTCACTTGAACACTTTATTTCATTTGTTCTTCTGCAGCAGAAAGATACCTTATCTTCAACACTGCCTCTAGATAATGTTTGTGGGGTAATGCTAAAAAAACACACTACATAGTATAAGCATTGCACGTTGTGTTGATTTCACTAGTCATCTTGTTGATGTATGTTGCATGAATAAACTAAGCAATGATACCTCTTATAAAGTTCATGTTAATTTTTTTTAAATTTTGTTGACTGGTTGAATGAATTATTTACCTTTCTTAGTTTGGTGCCACTTCCCCCCTCTGCGTCCCTTGTGGTGAGTGAGATTATGAAAAAAATGAGGGGATAAAGAAGAATTTGATGTTTACCCTTTTGCATCTGCCTGACCGTTTATTGTTTTTTACTTTGCTGTAAGGTCTACAGGCATAGTTTTCATATTTGTATGCATCTAACTCAAACCTAATCCTGCTTCTACTTACTACAATATACCCCGCCTGATTCAAGTTTGAAACCTTCTTATTCACCCGAGTGATCACACAGTCCTGGATTTTAGGCATGAACCAGGGAAATCTCTTCTTTATCTTCCTCTACATACTGATGGTAATTCCATACATTATGTTTACTTTTACCAGGAGAACAACAAGGCATCTTACTTACAACCTACAAATGAGTTTGCTGGTCATGAACTACCAGGGGGTAATGTATTACTGTCACCACACCAGGAATGGATTGCAACAAGTGCTCCAGATGGACGGCTACTTGTCAGAGCTATGGACGCATTGGTGAGCATGTTATAAATCAGATTTTTCTCTTAATAAAGATTTGAAGTTATTTTTTGCATTCTTAATGGTTCATAATTTGTGTCTACATTATGTATGTCAAATACAACTGGGATCCAAACTGAGTCACATTTATTCTGAATAAAAAAGAAACCTTTTATACTACAAACCTCTTTAATTTTGCGAATTTTGCAAATCCGTAAAAATTGCACAAGTTTTTAGCTGCGAAATTTTCTCTCAAATGCCATCAAATCAGGACAATTCCTACCAGCAGGAAGTAAGCAGTTTTGAATACATTATTTATAATATTCAATTTCTGAAGTACTGTCTCATTTTTTCCCCCCAGCATTTGTTGATTAAATTCATCAAACAATTTCTTAGACCTGGATTTTAATGAATATTTGAAAATATTTTATGGGGAAATTACTGAATTTGCCAGCCACAAATCATGTAGAGCAAAATACTATTTAATTTGGGATCTTTATATAGTACTGCGCTTTTTTTAGTTCAGTAAAATAATATTGTCTGAAAAACAGGATTGTACAGTGAATGTGGTGTCTCATAGTTATCGTACTGGTGGTGTGAAGTGTACCGTATTCTCATCAGACTCAATGTACATGATGACGTGTGGCGTTGGAGATGGAACCCTCAACTGCTATGCCTGGAAGTGAGTACAATTATAAATTTACCGGTAATAGCATATTTTTGGTATAAATCCACACATTACAGAGGCATAGCTATGCCGAAATCTCAGGTACCTGTTAACCTTTTAATGTGTGTATGCCTTACTACTAGTATATTGGTTATTGAGAGTGTATCGATCTATTCAAACCAGCAATTTGGAAAGCTGTATGTTGACACCACCATTTGCTATATACAGTAATGCATGGAATGGCAACAAGGTCTCTCGCAGATATAAGCAAGCCTACCATGGTTTCTCTATTTGTTTACATAGTACTGATCACAAGTTAAACATTTTGCTATAGTCTCTCTGCTTCTGGGAAAAACAAGGCTTCTTCAGCTATAGAAACATTCCGGACTGTGAACGCCGCCTTGACTGGGATAAGAAAGAAAGAGGATGATGTCTCTGCCAACATGTTGGAATGGTTCCCAAGCGCATCCCAACCTGAATCAAGAGCGCCCTCAGTGGTAGAGAAAGAGACTCAAGAAAAGTCAGAAAAGAAGAAAGCAATGGAAAGCGATGAAATTTATACAACTCCTACTCCAACGCCGGGAGATGACCCAACATGGTTGGAATTACAGGAAATCGAGGTATTTCAGATCAAGAATATTTCTCCCATCAATATTTATAAAAAATCGCTGTAAACCACTTTTATTTTAGCAAGAAACAGATTTTCAGAAATCAAGAAATTGTGTACCAGTGAATGTTTCATTGGGATCTTTAATACTATGAGTCTCAGTGACTATCATTAACTTTTGTCTGCCCACAAATGTCATCGCATTATAACAGGAAAAACAAAACAGTTTATTGAAACAAACACTAAGTACACATTCTGTGATATTATAAAATGACCAATATTGTGAGCATCTTGAATTGCTTTGTATTTTATTTGATAATCTTAACGACTGAAATGAATCTCTTACTTGGCTGCGTAGGCATTGAAAGAAGAAGACAAGCAGTACTCAAATGAGAAACGACTGCTGAGAACTGAAGTCAGAGATCTCAGAAGAACTGTAAGTGATTTGATGTAATTTATTCATACATGTACCACATAATTGTATTTTTATTACCTTGTCTTTATCATCATAGATAAAGGCAAAAGTACTGGTATATGAGGGACAAAATATACTCATAGTTACAAAAACAGTATCTAGTTTCTTTCAAACTTGAATTTTTTATTAACTAATTTGGGATCTTGGCCAAGTTTGATTTTGGTGTGAGTTGCTGTATGTACATATTTCAAGATATTTGTGAAATTTAACTCAAAATTGTCATCTTTTTGTGGTTACAACAACTCTAACAACTTTTATCTAATGTTGGGGAATTTCTATAACCCATATGTGAGGAAATCAAAATAAAACAAAAACGAGAAACTGAATTATTTGTAATTTTGATTACATTTAATTTGACTTACTACATTTATTTTACTACAGTTTTATTATTAGAGGATGTAGGGAAGATCCCACAGAGTATTGTCAAAAAATTAGGAGACCAGTTAGTTATCATTATCTAGAGGTGTTTGGAATTTATGGCATCTTGATTTTAACTTGCAGATTAGTTATCATTTTGGATTCTCCTGGCAGAGAGAACGTTCAGATTGTTTACTATTATCTTGCTGTGTATTTAGTCTGCCATGGTTTATATTTATGTTTAATTTCAGATTCAAAGCATGATGAAAGAAAACGAAGTGCTGCCAGACACAGAACAGTTAGCACACCACGAATTCAACCTTGATGTTGAAGAACAACAAAGACTACAAGCTGAAGGTGATGCAGAAGTTGAACAGGTCAGTACAACTTCTGTTATAAAAATCATTGGGGACTATTATGGATTTTGTGTTTCAATGGCTAGATTTCCTGTTCTTGATGTGTGAGCCCCTATGCCAAGTGGTATGAAACATACCCTTAAGAATCCATAACTTTTGCACGAGTATGATATCATGATAGCTAGCCTCCTTAATTGTACAGCTGTTGGCATGATATCTGTAGTTTCCAAGCCTTAGTTGTAGATCGGATTGGAATTTACAAACAAATGTCATCCATTGACATGTTTCAGTAATTGCCTGTCTGATTTTTGATAAGCCTTGATAAGTAGCATCCTATCACCTTCTGCCCTTCTATCTAATACTTGTAAAATACTCTACTGTTTGAATTAAAGTGGATGTTACTTTATTGTGTATTAGATTCATGAAGATATTGAATTTGAGAACTTGGCTAAGATCTACTTAAGAGATGTCATCAAGCAGACTTGCTGGGATTCCATGGCTGTGAAAGGAAGAAGTCTCAAGGTATAATTGGCGAATATGTTTTTGTTTTGTTTTTCTCTGAAATTAGACTTTGCATTGCACTTGGGAGAGGAGGATAATGTCATTTTCAATGTGTTAATGTGACAAAAACTTGAACCGCTGAATTGATTAATATTTGGTACCAGTGTTCCACCTAAGCAAATGTTATATTGTGATTTCCTTCAAAAAATGCTGGTAATGGTAAGAAATGTTTCTTAGAGTGCTTAATTTCATCAAGAAATCTGGTCACTTGACTGAGAAAACTTCTATTAAAAAAAAAGTTTAGAGTGAACACTGTTTGGTACACATGGATAAGATGACCATCAGACTTGATAGTACTAATCGGTGTATATTATTTGAACCTTTCCCAGTCATAAGTCCCTTTCTTCGTACAAGCCCACATCTTTTTTTTTTACTATTAAGGAGTTCAGGGCATTCCTGGGTATATATGTTTTTTTTTTACCAAGCATCCAAAATAGGATTAATTTTAAAAAAGTTGTTTAATATGCCTGAAAAAAGTGTGTTTCTTTGCATGAAAACCTCTTTTTGGAGTGTGTAGTCACTCTGAAAAGACTTGTTTGATGTATGCTTTTACAGGAAAAACTCACATAATATTTGCTCACAATGGAGCCAATGCTGCAATCTTTGGGCAATTAGGACCATGTAGTTTCCAAAATGCCACAAATTGTGACCGTTACTTCATGAAACTTGGGCATTTGAAATTGTTTTACTTACAAATAAGCACAGTGTCCATTGAGACTATCATGAATCTGGGTGTATATTTTGTTCAGGACCAATTTTATCATCGATAATAGAAAGAAATGATATCATAATATACCCAAATGTCAGTAGTAGCAGAAGATTAGCACCATTAAAAATGAATCCAATGAATATGATCGACCCATTGTAGTGTTATGCAAAATATGTCGCAGCATGGGGAGAACACTAATGTATGTATTGTAATAAATCATATCATAATTATAATTGATCTATCTCTTTTCTCCACCAGAAATCCATAATCAATGTGCTACATGTTAAAAGTGTTGTTTTTACTTGCAGGGATTCCGTAACTTTGTTGAAGTGACTAACTATCCCATGAGAGGAAGAACTAAAGAAGAAATTGGGATGTTAGGTTATGTTTCTCAGCAAAGACAAATAGAAATTGCTGAATCAGAGGCTAGAAAAGAGATTATTGAATTACCTATCAAACCAGGCACTGCTGGGGTATGTCATGACTTGTATTTTTATTATCAGTATATAAGATACTCAACTTTAAGTAAAAGATTCATGTACTGTCAAATATGCTGTTATAAAGTGAAACAAGGAAAATCAAGACAGTTAAGGGAACTTCAGAAACCTTGACAATTATAAAAGCATTTCCAGTGTTAACGGTGCTAATGTCGTACTGTGAAAAATGGGCACATAGCTTTTATTGCTTTGTGTGAACAAAATGTAATGTAGGGTTGTGAGTTTTCTTCTTGTGTTTGTTGCCAGGGCGATGAAATAGAAGATGAAGACTCAGAGGAAGGTGATGGAAAAGAACATCCCTCCACTACTGGCAGTCTTGGTGCTATGTACGGCGGAGGCAATCCGCTATTCTATAGTCAGTTTGAATTACATACTAAACAACAGAAACAGAATCAAATTGTATTACTCAAGGTAAATATAATTCTGATTGTCTTAATTAAAACATGTGCAATAATAAACCTCAGATTGATAACAATGTACATGACAAGAAGAAACAATGAATTTGTTTGCATCTTATTGTCACTGTTTATTTCACATATCTTATCTCCTACTATAGGAAGACTTACTTGTTTATGTACATGCACAGTGAAAAAGAACTTGTTATTAACTGGAATATTGCTTCAATAGACATCCTAATTTATCATTCTATAACCCCCTTCTCTCTCTCTGTCCCTCCCTTTCTTCCTCCCTCCTGCAGGATGCTATTTACCGAATCAAAACCAACTTCAACAAAGATTTTGATGAGGTGTACAAAATGAAAGACATGGAGATTGCACGAATCAAGCAGAAAAATGTGAGAATCCGCAAAGTACTGGAAGATCTGAACAGTAAAGAGGAAGTCTGGCAGCCTGAATGGACCATTGAGGAGAAGCCAGAGAGACTGCTGACTGTGGATGATTCTGAAGTAAGTCTCTCACAACATTACATTATACTGCTATCAAGGCCAAATGTACAGATACTTAGGTTGTGAAAATGAAAATGTGTTTTTGTATTCAGCACATTGGTCTTCACAAAGTTAAAATGCATACAGTCGTCAAAGTTGAAATATAAGTCACCCGTTGATTGCTATTCAACTTTCACAACTTTCCATACATTACTACATTATACATGTAGTAAATTATAATCAAATTAATTATTTTTTTATCTGTCTCATCTCTCAGAATTGTTTTGAGTATTTAATAGTAGAAAGCAAGGAATAACACTAATTTTTCATATATATTTCAGTTCAGTATATTCAGTAAATCTTGAAAAATTTACTATAAACTGACAGAGTAAGCATAGTATGTCCATCTAAGACAAGCATCATTACAAAACAACTTTTCTTTGAAAGAATGAACATGTGGTCAGCAATGTTCTAGAATCTTAAATTAAGTTCTTAAAAAAATTGAATGAATTTTATTAATATGGCAATTTGCAGAGAGAGGATATTTTCTAGTTACAGCTTCATTAAAACGTAACCAGGTTTTACTTATCATTCAATGAAAACACATATTGTGCAATAGATGGGTTTTTGTGTGTGTGTGTGTGTGTGTTCCCTTTAAATTGACACACAACCAGTAGTATGATACAGGGGTTATCAGGTTTGTCTAATAAATGCATTTCAGGTGAAAGTAGAGAAATACATCTCACCCGAACAAAGAAGTAAATTGGAAGAGGAGGAAAGGAAAGAAGAGGAAAGACTCCTACGAGAGAAAGGTGACAATGCACGTGAGCGTGCCTTGGATATGATGATGGGTGGTGTGTTAGAGGTAAAAAAAGAAGACGAACTTAAGAAGGTGAGTAGTTCCAACTCCACAAAATGTGTATAAATGCTATTGTGCTATTAAGGATTACATCAACTCAATTCCTAACTTCAGGAATATACTGTAAAGTCTTATAAATTAGCTAAATGCCATTTTACCGAATTTCGCATGAATTAACAGTATTTTAATTTAGCTAAAATGCCAACAATCTCATTGGAAGAATATACTTTCTTTTAAATTCGCTACATCAATAATATACCAGCTAATAAAACAATGTGGCAGTAATGAATTGACAATTATCAAAACTCTGACAGCTCCCAAGTCATCTACTATAGAAAGAGAAATATTTACTGAGTTTTAATTTAGCACTGTTGGTGAAATAGGCAAAATTAATACCCAGCTAATTATTAAACCCTATATAATAGATGTATTATCTTGATTATCACTATTTTTTTTTTTAGGACATTCCAGTGCCTGCTTTTATGAGTAAAGCAGCTGAGGAGTGGTCTGAAGAAGAAAAGAAACAAGCAGCAGAATATGAGAAGAAAGTGAAAGAACTGAATGAAGAGAGAGAGAAGTATCGCAAGGTAATATTTGGTAGTGGCAAAAGCAAATCTAGGTTTCAAGGTCACGTGATATTTTTCTTTCAGTACTTCATCAAATCTGCCACTTAGTTCATTCGTTGCTTGTCATGTTATAATCATGAAAATAGTCCTCCAAATATTTATATATCACACTAGGAATGTGAAATTATGAAAAATGTTTAATAAGTTGGTGTGCATTTACTTTGAACAAACCTACAAGTTGCTGATTAATCATCACACTCCAGCATGACGAAATGCTACAACATTTGCATTATGCTATTGTTTTACAAGCCATTTTTCCCATATATTACAATGTAGACAATTTAATAAGGTTATGCAGGTTACAAACCAACATTTATTGTTTTGTTATTCAGACCCTGGATGCAGAGTTGAAGAAGATTCAGACCACCCTGGCTGACACTACAGCTAATTTTGATGATAAATTAACTGACTTGTTTCATAAAAAGATTAAGACTGAAATGGTTATCAATCAGGTAGGTAACAGTGTTAATGTAAATGGAGTATACGTACATTTGTATATCTTCATTAGGTATTTAAAAATAAATATTATCAAACAGTTTTTCTGTTCTTCTCACAGTGGCTTCCATACAGCGTGAAGCTTCACCAAGCTTTATATTTTATCAATGTCAAATAAACAAATACTTGAACACATTGTAAACTAAATCTGTAAGATGTGGGTCAAACTTCAATTATCCTGGGACTAACTTAAAATCATTGATAATTAGTCCCTGTTCAGACGCAGTCCGAAAACGGGGACTAATGTTTTGACCTCCGTGTGTCTGACTTGTTTTGACTGATGATATTCAAATTTTTAATTTTCGTTATACATTATGTCATAGATAAACAGATATTCATGTATTGGTTTGACGATCCTATTCAAAATGCCCGAATGGTGGTCATTTTTGTGCTAAAAAATTCTCATATATCAAGCATTTCTGGCATTTATGGATGGATTTCGTTCAAACTTGGTGCATACATTAGACGGGTTCCTGATGCACGTCATTTTATTTTTCAGATTGGATTCAAAATGGCTGACTGACGGCCATTTTGCTTTAATGATTTGGGTTCTAGAGCCATATCTCTTAAATGCTTTGACTGATTATATTCAAATTTTATATATTCATTATACATCATGTTATATATATATACATGTATTCAAAATGGCTGATTTTGAATGCTGTTCCAGAGCAATATCTCTCAATATGGACAAGTACTTGTTTGACGATCAGATACAAATGTCAATCATTTTAATGTTAATAATCATATTCCTGACATGTTTATATTCCAGCTATATTACTAAAAACAAAACTATATATCTTAAATTTGATAACTAACAAGGACTGTGTCATGCGAAGCTTGTTTGATCAATTGATCCTATAACATTAAAATGAATTACTAGTTGAGACCATGAAAATAGCTTTCTATCAGACTATACAACAATAGAGATGATTTTAATTTTACTATATTTTCCACAACTTTGCAGCAATATCTCATCTCATCTTATATGCCAGAATCTGTAGTACATATGCAGACATTGTCTTCATTTGTCAAAACTATTCAACCAAGAGCCTTAACTGGCCTTAACATTTCAAAAGGTTTTTTGACAGATACAATGAGCTTGTGGTTGAATACAATAACAGATGATCTCAGATAGCATCAATATCACTTTTCTGATGTAGAACTCAGGTTTCAAACAGAAACCATTTCATTGTGACTGAGAAAGATATATGGTCCGTTCCACAACTAGAGCAGAATGTGCTCACTTTTTTTGAAACACTTGAATTCATTTCATGTATACCATGAGGTCCATGTATCTTTCTCTTACTGATTTGACTATGAGGGGGGGGGGGGGTGTATGTAGTATAGTCACTTGTTTTGCTTGGCTCTTGTGGATTGTTTTTTCAATTTTTGTCAGTCATTTGTTTTGTGTTCTTCAAATTTATTTATACATTTATTATATATTTATTTTGTATACAGTTGGGTATATTAGTCCCACTCTTGTATCAATGTTTGATTATGATAGAAAATCTTGATGGAAAAGTATTGTATGTGGAATTGGACATAAAGTGAACAGTTAATTAATTTGGTGTTGGCAGGAACAAACATTACTAATCAGACTTCTTCCACCTCCCCACAGTGAAGCAACTAAATTCACATATGTATGTTGTAGCTATAATCTATACCTGTATTTGTATTCTAATATTTTCACAAACAGGAAGAGCTGAAGATCGTCCGTTTGCAGTACTCATTGCTACAAGAAGAAGAACTACAAACTAAAGAGTTTGAATTGAACAGGAGATTAAAATCCAGACAGAGCAAGAAGGTAGATTTCTTATTTTCTAACTTTATAGTAAATACAATGTACCTGTAGGTGGTTGACATTCAAATCTTCAGCATTTCAGCTCTTAAACAATCTTCTTTACTTCTGTAAAGTAACTAACATTTTTTGAAAATTATCTTTTCTGTAAACTTCATCTTCGAGACTACTCTGAATATCAATAAGATTTCTCATGTGAATCACAGGTCACTAATGTGGACTGAATAAATAACATTCAAAATCATCGGCACTTAAAATTCCCAATTGAAAATTGATGTGTGTTTAATATATTGTCCTCTCTAGACTAATTTAAATAATCTCATCAATATAGTAAAGGCTATATTTTTTTATTTCAATTTCAATATTATTTTGTCTATCTACAGAACTCTACCGGTACTTCTGTTCATACTGCAAAGAAAGAATCTGACAGCTTCCGTGATACTTATGATATATTAGTTGCTGAAGACAAAGTGTTAGATAAAGCTTTCCGTCGAGAGTTTTACGATACACCGGCTCAGATTGTGGATCAGTTGTACAAACTATTCAGAAGAAGACCCAGGTATGCCTAAGACTGTATCTTTATTTCTTAGAAATCAGGGAATAATGCCATAATATTCAGAACATTTACCATATTTGCATTATGATGAGCACGTCATATGGTTGTCTATAATTTATTTTCCGTAACACTCTCACAGAGGTCGAAGAGGAGCTGAACCATCCATGGACGTATTAGTATCTGGGAGTCCCTATGGTGATCGTCCAGTCTCCCCACAGCAACAACTCCTAAATATATTAAAAGGTTTAGAGGATTTAGATGATGAGTCACATATGCCAGAGGGCGTGGAATATTCAGCATGGCAAAAGATGACTCTTGCTCGAAGGAGTAAAGTTGAAAGTGAGCAGAACGTGAGTATTACCTATTTCATGTGCAACTATAGATCTAATTAAAAGATTTGTTTTTCCCAGGGGAGGGTGTTCTAGTTTTCTATCCTTAGAATGTTCCTTTTGAATTTTAAAGTATTTTTTCATGTACTTGGTTAAAACTAATGAAGCTTTTTCATTCCTGCCATTCAAATGATATGTTTCTGTTACAGGTGAAACAAAAAGCATTGATTTCTGCTGATTTGAGTGCGTTTTTACAAAAAAGACAAGAAGAAGATGAAAATTTGAAAGCTGAAATAGATGAGTTGTTAGAAGCCCAACTTCGGTAAGAGTTATATCACTCATTATAATGATCACAATTATTAACTGCAACTGACGGGTTATATGAATAATTGTCTCCCTGATATGACCTGGCTGCATGTTTGTTTATGTACCATATATAAATTATGTTACCTGTGATTACAGTGGACATGATCTTGTCACGAAAGTAAAATATTGTTGTGGTTTTCAGCATTCGTGTAGAAAGTATTGTTCTGATTTTTGCAGGAATTGAGTTTGCAAAACATATCCGTACTTAGACTTTCAATATTTTGTATTTCAATATTTAAATTCGCTCCAAATTTGGCAGACAGTGCGGTGTGTTTGTGTGGTTCATACAACATTCAGAAAGCATTGCTATTATTTCCATATACATATAGGAGTATTTTGTGATTTGTTCTATTCAACATGATCAGCTCTCCACCAATCTGCTTGGTGACAAATTGTTTCACTTTCCCCTTGTTAATGCTAATAGTCACCTTGAATTTTAGCGTGCAAGATGAAAAGCTGCGTTTTATGTGTAATCTGGAAATACAGTTTCTACTGAAGCAAGGTCAGATTGAAGTTTTTCCCGGTCCGTTTATATATGATCATTCAGATAGTATATTGATTCATCGCGGTGTTGTTGAAGACCTCAATGCTACAATCCGGGTAAGTAGCAGTACTGACTTGTACATCTGTCAACTTAATTAAAAACTAAATTACTTTAAATTATTTTTAAAAACACTTTATTCAAATTGATTGATTTATCTGGATGAGTATATGTGTTATCTCTATGAACAGAAAAATGAGTGAAAAGTTATTTCTCATATTGACATCCCTTTAATGTGGACAGGACCCTGTTTACATAGTTTAATGTTTATGGTACAACTAAAAAAATAGTTGCCGATCAGATGGCATTTCTGTGATATGTTTGTTTTTTGTTGATATACTATTTGTTATTATGCTTCTCCAGCAATTAGGTGAACAGAAAATTGCAGCTATGACTGAAAGTAAAGATTTCAGAAAAGGAATCCATGTATTGGAATGGTAAGCATCGTAATTATATCATTCCATTGATTAGATGGTTTAATTTAAGTGAGACCTAGTGGGAAAATTACAAATTTTTATGTTTTTAACCACACTTTTGCCTCAATTTGTCCTACAATAGTATGTAGTCCAGGAAGCATTTTTTTGGACAATGTACAACCCTCATTAGTTTTTGATTGAAATCTGTGCATACTAATTACCTAATTTGCATAGTAATATAGTTAATTTTAGCCTTTCCATCTTCAGAACCAGTCATCACATTTCAATGAAACTTGGTAATGCTCTTGGACAGTGCACAGACCTGATGAGTTTTGGGTGGAAATATGTGCATATTATTTACTAATTTGCATAATAATTGGCCAATTTATAGTTGTTCCAAGAATGTTTCCTGTAACATTCATCAAATTTAGATAAATAATCCACTGACCTGATTAATTCAGGGTTGAAATCCATGCATAATATATTCTTTATTTGTAGTCCAGGCCTACAATACAATACATTAGCAAACAGGATTTCTTTCAATTTAAAATGCAATTGTCTTGTTCATGTATTTTTTTCAGGGAACATAAGAAAAACTTGATGCAAATAGAAGATTTAATGAACAAAGCCAGAGACATTCAGATGTTGAAAGTTACAAGGCAACTTCAAGCTGTAAGTGTCTTTGCGTAATATTGTTAAAATGTAATGGTAGTTATATACCGGTACTACCTATATTTGTTATATTTGGTTTTAATGCATGAAATACATTAGTGTATATATTATTATATTATATCATATTCTATGATGTTGGATTATTTTACAGTATTTGAATGATTCAAATCATGAATCAAAGATTCAACAAGAAATTGGTAAATTGGAAGAGACATTAGACTTGCAGGATAGGGTAAGTCTGCTCCTTTTTAATGCTACTCCAGAAATCTTTATTTATTTGCATATAAATGTATATTCATGCCTTGAATGGTTTCTACTTCTACTGAAATCTATAAAAAACAAACTTGGGATGTTGAAATGATTTTTGCAAATATGTGATACAATGAGTTTTATCCCTCCTTCTATACTCTCTTATTTTTTACCAGCATCATGAAAAGAATGTGAGAGAACGTAAAGACATCCTCTCACAAATTCGTAAAATTATTAGAAGGAAGGAGAAGGAAAATGGAAAATTATTGAGAGAACTGCAGGAGCTGAATGTTTCTGTAACAGAAAGAAAGCACATCAATTCTGTCAATGGTGAGTATGGTGGTTGGATAGCATATGAAACATATGGGTGCAAATTGCCAGTCATTATTTCTCTGGTGAAAATGGAAACATAATGAACATACTGCAGAAACTTGTGTATACCTTTTTCATACTGACACTCGCTTGTCTTTCCTAACACCGCAGCTGACAAACACGCCGATTCCGGAGCTGAGAAGAGAATGCATGACATAGTGCAGAGGCGTAAACTAGTAGACCTAGCCAAGGCACAAGCTCAGGAAGTGGCCGTACTGAGAGCAGAAGTGGAACGATTACGTATGAGAACCTTCCCAGCCTTGGTGCAAGTTGAACATTAGAAAATAGTAACTTAGATCCCCTGATTGTGTGAATGTGAGAATCTTTTCTATGATGTCTATCCAATATTTACATACTAATTCACTAAGTCCTGATAATTATACAAAACCAGGTGCAGTGTTGTCTATATAGCCACATTATATACTTTGTACTACCCTATCCGTCCTCTAAATCTCAGTACAAATAGCTATACTGTTATCAACAATTAGTTATTACTTTTGTGTATATAAAATTCCAGCAAATTGCTTTAACATGCTTGTTTTTAAAATGGTTTATTCCTGAATACTGTCTCTGAATGATTTGTATTGTAATATATTAATAAAACAATTTGCATTATAATATTTTGTTTGTTTGTGTCTACTTTTGTAACAAACAAATATATATATATATATATATATATATATATATATATATATATATATATATATATATATATATATATATATATATATATACCCCCTGTATAAGTGTGGGTATGTAAATCTATATAAACCAACATTCCCAATTGACATTCCTACATCTGTGAATCTTAAGAGAAAGTTACAAACAACAAAAAACGATCTACAAGAACAAACTAAACAACTGACAAGTACACTACACTACACAGTCAAATCAGTGAGAGAAATCATGCTTATGTATCCAGTACTGGGGTACATGTTAATGTGTTTATTTTCCAAGACGTCTGATTGCAATATTTTTCTGTGGCAATGTGACATTGGTACATTCACAATAGCATAACAATGTAATAGGAAAGATATGAACCTTGAGTAAAATGGCATAGAAGTGATATTCTGTGTTTAATGAGTAAACGCATGTACATGTGGCATGTATTGTATTTGTTTTATTAACGCAATGCACTTGTTTGAACGATATACATGTGTGGACCTATGAAATAGTGTAATAATCGATATTGTTTTTGGTTTGTATACACTTCTAAAAGAGCAACTCTGATAATCTTTATAAGGAATTCATCATAGCCCACTACTATATGTTAGAAATGATCTGATATACTACGTTTTTATTTGAAAAAAAAATGATTAGTAGCATATAAAAGATCAGCGGATTCCTCTTATTAAGGGTGCACTTTCACTGCTGCCAGACAGCACTATAAATTAAAAACAACGAGAATGCATCTCAGTTCAAAATAAAATTATACTGTTAACTGTCGGTTCGAATGTATTTCTGATTCTTATAATGTTTTATATCATTTCAAATGCGTTCTACTGTAATGTCACTTTGTTTTGAGTATTTGACATGTTGTCATCGAACTGTGTATTGCTTGGTTTAAACTGAACATCCAGCATACTAGTACGTTTTTACAGTATCAGTAGAATTGATGGTCTGATCATGGAAAGTACTACTATCGGTAGTACCTTCCATGGTCTGATGATAACATGTCTGTTTAGGTACATATTACAATACAATAACATTAACATTGTTAGCTACAGTCTAAGAGCAGCTGTGATTTAAGGATGTAGTAGACTTTCGTGGTGATTTTTTTCTTCATTTTTTTTTTTTCTTTTATTAAATGGTGACTTATATCTATAGGCAGCCATACGACCTTGTTTTTTTTATTAAATCACGTTTTTATTTCAAGAAAAAACGGCTTTTTAAAAAATAAAAA